GGAAGCTACCGTAGGAAGATCCCCAGTCCAAGGCCAGCCTGGGCTACATGGCAAAAGTATGTAAAGCAACAAAAATTAAAATTCCAGACTAACAAATACCAGACCCTACAAGGCGGCTAGCTATTGACTCCAGTCCATAAAGGCCATCGCTGTCATCACAGATTAGCTTAAGATTTGTGCTTTTTCTCTCCTTAGTGAGAACTTTTAATTGTCAAGTTTTCTCGTCCAGCAATGTTTAGGAGATCCATCCCTAATTGTGTTTTTTTCTTTGTATTACTCTGGAATGGTCAATTGTAGCAGCATGTATCCCACTACTTCCCCACGCCTTTCCACTATAATATGCCAGTTCCTTTTTTCAAATAGATGCCCTTATGAGTAACTGCTTGGCAGTCAATGAACATCTGTACGCACCTGCTGAGTGCACACCCAAGGGCGGGGCAGAGACAAAGGGCATACCTATACCAGATACTATTCAGTTTATATATAAGAATTCATCTGTACAAATTATGAGGTAGGTATTATCATTATGGCCAATTCAGAAAAATGGAAACTGGCAAAGTCTGTGCTTCTGAATAGTAGGTTACATGCTCCTAAGAGGGCAGAAGCCATGTTTACCCTGTGTTCCCCTACTTATCAAGGTGCCCTGTACGTACACAGGAGGAACTCAACAAAGCTGCCCTGTGTGACATTTTGGTAAGAGATGGATGGTATACACGAGACTGATCCTGTAAAATTACAAAGGAGCTGAAAACTATCACTTGGTAACATCCCACAGCACCACAGGACAAAACATTGCATAGTTGGTCATGTTGTTGACAAGAAAGCCACGCTGCCTGTCATTTGAAAGTACAGCACACTCATCAAGTATATGGCACCTGACAACAACACTGGTAGCAGACAACGCTGTGACTGTTTCTGCCTTTGCAGCATTATTTCAGTGCTCTGCTATTTATAAAAGGGCTCCCATGATGTAAACAACTGCCCTGTTACTGTAGCAGCGACCTTCTACACCCAATGTTTACCAGGTCTCCTTATTGGATCAGGATTCTTTGCTGAGTGACCTGAACAAACTTGCACACTAAGAGCGGTGTGGAGCATAGCAACAAAATGGCCTAATGATGCACTTCTCAGAATACATATCCCATGCTTCAGCCACAGCCACAGCCACAGTGTAGGAGTAGAGGGAACTTGATGCCCGACTCCTACTTCTCAACTCTTTTAACTCACGTGAGGTGAAAATCTTACATTACCACTTTTCCTTTAATATAAAATGTGGGTAGATGATTTGTCCCACCTTTGACCTCCAGCAAATCCATCATGAGATTGCCGCTGGCTTATCTACATAAAAGCATCATTCTGAACTGACTAAATTGCAATACTAGAACTTTAAAATGCTTAGGTGTAGCCCAAGACATGAGAAAACAGATCTAAAAGTTATCAGAAATGATGCCCAAGATTAAGCTGGTGTTTCAGCTTACTGGCTAACGTCACCAACCTTAATTCAGCACCCAAACAAGTTCTCTGATAACCTCCTGTATGTTCCTCAACAACTCTGGGAAAAGGGCTGACACTGCATCCCAAGCAGGCTGTCTCTCCCTCTGGGGCTGTGGAGGAACCAGTGTCTGCACCTCTCAAAAAAACTTCTGAGATCATTATAAACCAGTTTCCCCAAAGCCTAGCAGAAATGGAAGAGTCTACAGATTGTTTCTTCCAACAGCACCTTCAACTCAATCAGTAAATTTCCCAAATGTTCAGAAGTCTAAAAATACTTATTAGTTGTTGGTTTTGATTCCTCTCCTGGGGCGTTGACAGCGCCCTGACAGAGGGCACGCTCATCTCCTATCTAACAACATTCGTCATCTATTTTCAGTCACTATAACGATGTACAGCAGGCAAAGCACTTTGTTCTGTTGTGGTTTTGGTTTTCTCTGAGACAGGGTTTCTCTGTAGCCTTGTGTACCCTGAAATTTGATCTGCAACGGATCAGACCTTGAACTCAAGAGATGCCCCTGCCTCTACCTCCCAAGTGCTGGGATTAAAGGCCAGTGTACCATGCCCAGGTTAGGCACTTTGTTTTTTTAAAAGGCTATTTTGGTCAGTTTGGGAGGCTGAAAGCCCATCTTTTCAGGAAGTCCCAGCAGTTTAGCTCTGGTGAGGCCCTCAATGTGGATGACTTCATGGTAAAGGTCAAGTGAGATGGGGAGGAAGGAAGACGGGAGAGCAAAGGTGGACAAAGGCCAAACAATGCAAGGGTTAGGCTCACTCTCATAATAACAACCTGCTCTCAGGGAACTAACTCAGCGAGGCCACCACAATCCTCAATACCTAGCCACTGTCCTTCCTGCAAACTCCATCTCTTTCTCGTTTCATCGAGACAGGGTTTCTCTGTGTAGCCCTTGCTGTCCTGGTGGAACCCCCCTGTGGACCAGGATTGGCCTTGAACTCAGAGATCCAACTGCCTGTGTATCCCAAATGCTGGGACTGAAGGTGTGTACTACTGCCACCTTTAAAATATAACACTAGAGTACTGCCACACTGTTCTTCGTTTTGTTTTGTTTTTTTTTGACACTGATCTGCTATTTTTAGGGTAGTGGCCAATTACTATATCTTCTAAGCATAAGGGTGTTCCATTGATTTTTCCAATTAAAATCAATTCTTTCAAAGTAAGGACTTTCCTCTGATTTAAAATTTTGCTTCACTTAGGATTTATTGTGAGAACTAGATAAACTTTAATGACTCTTACGAAAATCATAAGTCGTTTTCTAGTACGTTTATTCCCCAGAAACTAGCTTATTGTTGCTGTTCAAAAGAAAAGGAAATATCAGTCCTAATTTCAACCCAAGTCTCCTAACAAGATCTGCTTAGTGTCAGTAAAGAGCCATCCTAATAAAGCAAATCCTCCCTCCCTCCCTTGGTAGCGTCTTGCTTTGTGTTTTTGTCAATGCTGAGATTAAACACTCCACTATATAATACAATCCGTTGATGCCACTAACACATCTTCAATGTCCTCACATTATCTATACTCATAGTACCTTCATATAAGAGCAGCTACAGGAAACATAATGTAGGACATGCAATTAAAAATCAAGCTCTATTTTTTTATTGAGACAGGGTCTCACTGTGTAGCTCTGGCTGGCCTGCAACTCACTTTGTGGCCTAAAACTCATGAGATCTGTTTACCCACACACCTCCAATGCTGAGAGATTAGAAGCTTGTGCCACTCACTTGGCAAACTGTAGTTTTAACTTAAAAAGAGAAACAACATATAGTCCCCTACACAGGCTAATTTAAAGAAATAGAAAGACAAAAATGAAGTATATAAGGGAAATTTCTGAGTAACTGACCACAATGTAAACACAGTGGAGAAAAAGGTGGAATCACTTCCCTCTGTTGTCTAAAATTCTCTACCTCCATTCCCACTGCTCCTAATGTGATATTCGAATAAATCCAAAAATGGTATAGAAAATTGCTCCTCAGAATCACATAATCAGATTTAAATTTCTCTCTCTCTTTCTCTCTCAAATACTAAGGACTGACCCGAGGGCCCTCACCAATCTAGGCAAGAGTTCAACAATTGAGCACATTCCCAGATCTCAATAATTTAAGATGTAATATAGTCTGGCAGTGATGGCACACACTTTTAATTCCACCACTTGGAGGCAGAGACAGGCAGATCTCAGTGAGTGCTGGCTCCTGGATGCTTTTTTTTTTTAATTTTTTTTTATTTTTCAATACGGGTTTCTCTGTAGTTTTTGGTGCCTGTCCTGGAACTAGCTCTTGTAGTTCAGTATGGCCTCGAGCTCACTGAGATCCGCCTGCCTCTGCTGAGATTAAAGGCGTGCGCCACCACTGCCTGGCCCTGGCAGACGCTTTTTAATAAACAAAAAGCATGCAGAATGTGAAACTCCAAACAAACATTTAGGACTGTGAGAAAGGCAAAGGTGAGCTGGTGAGGGAAAGGAAATCACCAGGAATAGGAATGCACCTGTGGCACCCACGCTGCTGAAGTCACTGCTCAGCTCCATTGTCTTAAGGAAACTTTGTAAGATTTTGGGGAAACACACAAACCGTCTATTATTTCCTTCAATAGATTTATACTAACTGCCTGTTAAGTCAGGTGTTGTTTTGTTTACCTCGAAGGCATCTCCCCGTTTTTCCAAGTCAATATATGTCTTGACATCAAGCACTCCTCCTCTCTCCCTTTAAAGGGAGTTCGCTAATGGCTCTTACTGTTTTCATTTATTATTTAAAAGTTTATCAATCAGAGCTGGGCGGTGGAGGCTGAGGCAGGCCGATCTCTGTGAGTTCGAGGCCAGCCCGGTCTACAACAGCTAGTTCCAGAACAGGTTCCAAAGCTACAGAGAAACCCTGTCTCGAAAAAAACAAAACACAAAACAAAACAAAAAAATTAAAAAAAAAAGTTTACCAATCAATCTGCGCCCTATGAAGCTAAGGTATAAGAAATCTACAAGTATGGTGACTCATTCTGAATACGAACTAGACCTCTTTCCCTGGGTCTGAACTCTAGGGTGCCCAAACCGATAACTGCTTTCAGGCTAACAATCTGCTCATTAGCTTTGCCCGTGCAAACAAAGATTCTGCAAGCTGGAGGTCACACGCAAAAGACTAAAAAGCGTTGGAGGACCTTCACCAGCCACCACCTGACCTTACAAAAGTTTATCTCAAGAATAGTTCTAGCTTAATGGAGATCTAAACGATTCCTCCCAACCTGGCTAGTGCAAGCAAACCCGCAGGAGAGGTGCACATTCTTGGAGTTAACCATAAAGAGCATTAGGGAGGAGTTCGACAGGCTAGGTTAATGTCTATGAGGCAAGGCGTACCCCACGCCCACTCGGTCAATTCCCTGCGAAGGTACTGATCTGGTTCCCGAGATCCACCCTCCTAGTCCTGCGGTCTCCATAGCTCCAGAGCAGGGAAGCCGCTCGCGGAGCTGAGCAAAGACTTGCCACTCCAACCCTACCCCTCATCCTGTTGCTCACCGGTGCTGCAGCCCTTGGAGTCCCACAGTGATCACATGCGGCACATCTAGCTGCGTGGGCCACTCTCCAGAAGCGATGCACCCAAACACGCCACATTCCTCACGCATCCCCGACTCCTCCATGTCCATGGCGCCGCCGAAAGCACGTGGACGGACCTGCGGCCGCGGCGCGGTCCGAGCACCAACCAGCTGTCCGCTCTGCTCTAGTAAGCCGCAGAAGCTCACGCCGCCGACTGCCTCCTCCTTCCCCGCGGGCTAGGTTCTCGCTACTGCGGCGGCGCGCGCTTTCCAGGGGCTGTTGCCAGCTGGGCCTCCAGCGCCTGGCCAATCAGCTACGGCGCTGCACGGGGGCGGGGCCATGGAGTCAAAGGGGTGTGGCCAGTTCTCCGCGGGTGAGGTAAGGGAGGCTACTGTTTCCACACGTGGAAATCTCCGTTATTTTCCGCTCCCGAGACGTCAGTGATGAGAGGAGCGCAGTTGGTGGTGTTTACCCCTCAGAAGATTTGAGCCGTGCGTGCCCCAGGTCGCACGCTGTTCCCCGACCGTCGGGACTTGGTACGCTCCAACACAGAACCCTCTCCCAGCCAGCGGGGCCCAAGCTTGCGCGCCACTTTTCGCCGCTGGGATTGAGACGCAGAGCCGCCCGGAAGTGGTGTCTCGTCGGCGCGCATGCGCGGCGGGAAGCCCGTGGGTATCCGATCCCAGCATCGGGCGCGGCCAGTGCGGTACTTCGCTGTCGCCTTTGGGTCACACGGACTGCTCAGGTTTAGCGGACGCGCCTCTTCTCTGCACTGCCCTTCCCCGCCCTTCTAATCCTCTATTCGGTCTTGTTTTCCCGACCGCTGCTTCACTCTCCCGCGCTGTCTTGCACCTCATCCCACCTAGAATCATGGCGACAGCTGAGGGTGAGTAGCAGGCTTTCCGACCTGCTGGTGTCCTCACACACACACACACACCCTCCAGCAGGGAATTGCATGCTTGGCGTGGACTCGTGCAGCTCCGGGGTCGGATTGTAGCCCTCCTGATACAGTGCCCGCCTGGCTAACCCACGTTGGCGCCATGGTACGGGATACTGCACACGTGTGGTCCACGTGCTGGGGGACGTGCTTTGGACACTAAGCACCCGGGGACTCCTGAAATTCCCAGAAAACTCCCCGGGTGAGGAGGAAAGTAGCAGAGTGGGAAGGTGCCCCGGAGGAGAAATGTCCTAAAACTAACGAAAGGCCTAAAATACTCTCAAGTCCCCATCTCCCTCCCACTTGACAGCCTCCAAAACACTTAAAACACCAAGACTTACATGACGATTTCATCTTGAGCCCGGCGAATATCTGAAAGCTCTTAATATTTAGTGTACAGAAATACAACATTTTAAAAGACCTGACAAGGACTGCAGTGGTGTCTCTGTGCTTTTCTTTGGTTTAACCACTATATAATGCTTCAGCTGGTTTCTTTTGAAAGACAAATGTGGTCTTTATTGGAGAAATTTAAATATTCTATTAGTAAAATCCTTTAGTCTGTCCTTAAAAAGCACAACCTAAATGATAAAAATTGTTAAATTGGGAGCTTAGACCCCAGCGCCTCTCATCTATCCTAGCCCGCAGGCCTGAGAGTTGTGTTGGTTGAACTCTAAATCGTAGCATGCCAGGTCCTGACCTCTCCCCGGGGGAGGGTCAGGCCAACAGGACCACTCTCACAATCCATTTATGTGAGCTATCTAAGGAGAAACACGTGGTCCCTTTTCCTTCCTCCAGGAAGTCATGTTAGAGGCCTCCTGCTTATAAATTGGCTTGTTTTGATTTGGCCTGATTGGGAATTTGCCTCAGCAGAGAGCTCGCGTTAGGAAAAATTATTAACAAAAATGATTAATATAATTTAAAGTAATATTAGGATAAATGTGTACTTTAACTTCTTACCTCCTGAAGAGTCATTTTACTGAGGTTTGTCTAAACACCAGTGGCCGAGAAATCTACACAGAGAGAAATGTCAGAAGTTAGGGGAGTTTTAGGGAGGCAAAGAAGAAACACGTCCCAGAATAAAAAATGAGTGTATATTGATTGGCTGGTTATCTACATCAGTAACAGACTGCTTGCCAGTGTGCCCCCCCCCCCAGTTCCGTCCCCAGCAAGGCTAAAGAACAAACTGAGAGGAAGTGCTCAGATGGAAGCTATGTCTCTATCAGAGATTCTGCAAGGGAAAGTGGACCAACTGATGAAATGAGTCTGCAGGGTTGACTGGGATCTGCAGACTCACACTATCTTGGGATATCCCAACAGCAGGTTTATTGCCCACCTGTGTTGTGAGACACTTGTACACTGTGTGAAGGTGTGCTGCGGTGGTTGGTGTAAAATAAAACAAAGCTGAACAGCCAATAGCAGGCGGGAGATGTAGGTAGGATTTCCTGGGAGAAAGAGTGAGAGAATCCAGGCACACAGGAGCTGCCATGAGACACAGGGAAAACAGGAGGTGCAAGATGGGAGAAAGGTAACACCATGCGATAGTACACAGCCTAATATAAATGGGTTAATTTAAATTATAAGAGATAGTGAGTAGTGAGGGCCGGGCGGTGGTGGCGCATGCCTTTAATCCCAGCACTTGGGAGGCAGAGGCAGGCGATCTCTGTGAGTTCGAGACCAGCCTGGTCTACAAGAGCTAGTTCCAGGACAGGAACCAAAACCACAGAGAAACCCTGTCTCGAAAAAAAAAAAAAAAAAAAAAAAAAAGCTCGTGAGGAATATGCTTAAGCTATAGGTCGAGCTTTCTTAATTATTAAGTCTCCATGTCATTTTTTGTGAGCTGGCGGTCCAAAGAAAAACCTCTCCACACAGCTGTCTGCCGACATCCTCAGTGTCTGTCAACTGAAGCCTCTCTGGATGTGACAGCCTAGCTTCCACCAAGCCCGCAGCTATGACCATCATCTCAGGACCCCCCCCCCCCCACACACACACACAAGAATGGAATGTCTCTAAATTTGCTGTAATCCACCCACCTAATTCCCACCAATGGATTTTGAAAATGCCTTGGTTTTTTACTTTCCTGTGTCTTTCAGCTATACAACCTCATAGAACTGCTTACATGCCTGGGACACGATTTTTAAGGAACCTAATCTGTGTTCCTGAAACGTGACCTCTCATTTTTGGCTCATAATAAATTATCTCTTATTGTCCTTATGGTAAGGGCAGTAATTTGTGTTACTAAAACAACAAAAAGCTGTATCAAAGATCCATAACTGATGCTCTAGACTTACAAAAATCCAACGGCAATTTGTGGAAAACACTGACAGAAATACAGCTGCTTCAGCCAGTGGCTTAACAAAATAGAGGCAGGCTGGAAGAGATATCTATAGAGAGCAGGTAGAGTCAGTGAAAAGTCATGGAGCCATGGCTGGAGACAAGTATGGAAACCTTGCCGGTAGGCTACGATCCTCCTAGTAAGATATTAAATAATAAAAATGTTTAAGGCATAATAGTTAGCCGGAAATGCAGTTACGCTGTTGGCCAAACAGTATTGCAAATAATATAGTTTCTGTGTGATTATTTCGGGGCTTAGCCGCTGGGAAACCCATAAACAGCCTCTGCCAACAAATGGCAGTTCAATCAACATTGGACCAGAACTTTAAACATGTGGAAATGATGTAACACATACATAATAGGAATAAACAGGTAGAAATGTAGATTTATAGCAAATGGTGGTAGTGGCGCATGTCTTTAATGCCAACACTATTAGGTAGAGACAGGCAAATCTCGAGTTCAAGGCTAGCCTGGTAAACAGACTTCCAGAACAGGCTCCAAAGTTACAGAGAAACCCTGTCTCAAAAAAAGTAGATTTATTCCTCAATTGGCCACAATGTAAAGATATGTACCTTAAAAATAACCAATAAAAGGGCTGGAGAGCTGGTCAAACACACTAGCTGCCAAAGGACTGGGGTTCAATTCCCAGCATCACCTGGCAGCTTAATTTCCAGTTCTGAGTTCCAGCAGGCTGGAAACGGGAGATTTTATGCTGTGGCCTTTAGGATCCAGTGTTTCAAGAGTGCTGTCCCTAATCTCCTTCCCTCCCTGAAACTTGATACTACTGTTGTGTTTGTCTGTTTCTGTCTCCCTAGACAACCAGGCAGTTGAAATCAGTGTGTACATTCTCACAGCCCTTTACATGTGATTATGCATTAAAGCTTGTGTTGCTTAACAGATTCTTTCTTCTTCTTTTGTTTGTTTGTTTCTTGATGTAACACTCCCGGCCATCCTACAATGCACTCCTCAGACCAGGTTGGCCTTGAACTCACTGAGACGTACCTGCTGCTTCCTGCTGAGTACTCAAATTAAAGATGTGCACCACAACTACAAGGAGCTTGTTTCTTTTTAACACTGCATAGGACCCCATTGTCTCGATTGGGGAGGAGGGATCCACTTTCATTTCCTTTGCATTTTTGAAGACTCTGAACACCCAACCATGGCTCCCAGTGTTTTCAAACAAACCTTTCTGTATGGTGCTGATTCAGCATTCTACTTTCAAATTACTTTACTGCCCTCCTACTTGGCATAAATTTGCACAGGTCATAAGAGATAGGCTACTTATTAAAATGAATCAGAGAAATGAGATCTCACTAGTTGGTGCCAGGTATGATCAAGGCTGCCGTCTTCATGGTTTTACCATAATGTACCAATGACCACTATTTTTATTTATTTATTTATTTTTTAATTTTCGAGACAGGGTTTCTCCATAGCTTTTTGGTTCCTGTCTTGGAACAAGCTCTTATAGTCCAGGCTGGCCTCGAACTCACAGAGATCCGCCTGCCTCTGCCTCTGGAGTGCTGGGATTAAAGGCATGCGCCACCACCACCCGGCTGACGACTATTTTTAAAAAGCACACATGGAAACATACTTATTACATATATTTGTCACCAAGAAAGATCACAAAAAGGTTTCAAAAAAAGGCTTACATTGGTTTCTGATGTTAACTGTGTTCAGACATTTTTCATTTTTTTCTGCATATTGTACTCTAGTTATATACATTTAAAGCAGAAAAAGGAAGGCTTGAAACTGGTGAAAAAAGTGTGAATTTAATTCATATTGAGAAACTAGTGAAAAAAAAGGTCACAGTGAAGAAATAAGAAAGATGTACAATTATCAAACGACCACAACATCATTTCCCTTTATAAAAGTATCCCAATAAAACAAAATAAAAACTATGGAAAACACAAAGTCAAATTAGAGATTTTGGTTTTAATACTTTCCCTGAGTTTCTTTTCAAAACATCAAATTTAAATAAGGCCATTTTAAAACTGACCTAAAGGCTTACCCTCCAGCCCACCATAAGTAATGCATTTAATATACAAGGCTCCGCCCACTGAAACGGTCCTAGGACTATACAATGTCAACCTGCCTGCAGCTGTCACAGGAGCACTCCAGACACCAAAGCACATGACCTTAAAGTACTAACAGTTTATCTTGACTGCTATTCTGTAACACGTGAGACTATATACCAGAGGCAGACTAATAATTTCAGTTATTAATAAATACTATGTTTCTAAATGGGTTGGGAAGCTACAGCAATTTTGGCAACAATATAGAAAAATGTTTTTGCACGTGAAAACTTACACAAACATGAGTTAGTAAGAAAATCACCACAATCCTCTAAATCTACATCATAAAAAAATTGAAACTAAAATCTCACTAGACCTAACAAAACAAAGCACAAAAGACATGGTTATGAGCTGACTGACACTTGGGTACAGGCAAATATTCCCCAACAGTAGCTGTCTGAGCCATTAAACAAAATCGGCCCCTAGTATGTTTCTATTTGCTCAATTTCAATCCAATGTCTGTATGTATACAGAAATGCATGACTGTAAACTATCA